ACGTAAACAGATAAATAAGTGTTGCTATGAAGTGCCTTTTACCTATTGCAAGAAAGTAGCTTGCAAAAATGATAGCATTACACTTAGGGCTGCAATTAATCCTATGATAAAGCCATAAAACTCTGTACTTTTAGGCCCCGGACAGACTTCACGCGATTTGATCGTCGCGACTGAATCGCGACGAGACAACTGTTACAACATCATTATATGCTGATCAACTTGCATTTCGGTTGTGATACTTTTCCAGCCCGAAATTTTTGAATGTGAAATGAAAATGAATGGAAATGTCGGCGGTTGAGTCGCGACGATCAAATCGCATGAAGTCTGACCGGGGCCTTACTCTCAATTCTTTTGCGTAAGCGTAGTTCTGTCAGAAGAAGCTTCTAGAAATGCTGTAAAGCTAACCACTCATGCAAGTCAGAATTTTGAAACAAAAATCATGACCAGCTTTTGTCACCTTCTGTCAGCTCACAAACACACTTTACAAATTGCTATGCTAGTAAGCATTAGTCTCAATAGCTCAACTGCAACGTCTTACAATAGCATTGTCGCCAAATCGGCCATTCCATCTCCTTTTCCCGATTCGATTATACGCATCAATCAAGTGATCACATCACAGGCATAAAACCCGCTGTTTAACATCCTTTTTGTTTGATCTAGAAAACGAAAAGGATAGTTAGGCGTTAGAGGTTGCTGAGGCCTGACTGATTCGGAAATGCTGTGTTACCAACCAATTATGGAATGAATCAGCACAGATGTGAGCAGAAACTTTGGTGTTTCACCAGTTATAATCATACAAGATATTCTACTAAATAAACCAAAATGCATACAAAGTATTCAGGTTTAGAGTGATCACCACATTTGCCAAACATCGGTTATGTTACTGGATCTTTGAAGTAAGTAAAGACTGAGCTATCTATCCCAGACGGTTGTAAACAACTTGCTAAATTGTAAGTTCATCCTGAGGCCGATGCAGTGATATGAAACCACTCAAGCACAGTCAATAACTGAATGACCAATCTAGCCAATGTTCTTCAAAAAAAAACTCAGAATATATACATATATATATAAACGCAAGTATCTGTATTTTGTTTAAAAGATGGATAAAAAGAAATTTCATAGCCGGAGGATATTGATTTACGGTCAAATAAAATTTTATGTATTTTACAATCTTCTGAACAATATTCAAAGATTAATCACGTGTACACCTTACATTTTTGAAAAACATTAAGTTAATGGCCATCCATTTACGTGGAATAATTACCGCTCAGATTAAGGTTCGAACATAAATTACGGCGAAACAGTTTGCGATAACAGCCACGCAACGAATTTGTGATAAACCAATTTTGAGGAAAAAAATTGAAAGGGATTAGGAAGAAAATTATACAGTCTAAAATTGAGTTGAATCTATGATTTGAAGGGACTGTCGAAAATGATGGAAGAAAATTACATTTTTTTCCTTAAGATTCACTAGGAGAGAAACGAATACACGAATACTTAGGTTTTTTTCACTAAAGAGAAGAAATACGCAAAAATAGCAAAAATGTAGGAGACTACTGATCATAGCGAGACCACTGTCGACAAATGTATTACATTCTCCGAATTGCACCTGCGGCTTCACTAGCCTCCTAGTGCAGATTTACTTTCCATCACTAAGCTTTTACACTAACGGTACGCGAGGAGGAATGTGAAAAACAAGTGTATAAGTTATCAATCAAGCCAAGTTCAATGAGTGATTCGGCTTCGGCACTGATGCATGGCGTCAACAGCGTGAAAAATAGCCTCATGGTCATTTTCTTCGAGCTACACATTATATAAAAGTCTTGAAACGATTGTAAACTATCGCTGATAATGTTAAAAGCAAAGAAAATTGTATAAAAATTTCTCTTGAACCACCTGAGTGCAGTATCCCGAATAAATAAATAAATAAATAAATAAATAAATACTAAAAGTGGGGACATTGCATTTCTAGCAAGACTTTATTGTTCAAAAATAATTCGAAGCTATTCGTTATCAGATTTTCTTGAATGATGATAATGTTCTAGCTTAGGTGCATTTTATTCCTTTTTTTTTCATAGCAAAGATTTTGTGTTCATATTAATAAAAAGTATTTGATGAAAACTCGGTAGGGATACAAGAAATTCAATGCTTTCTGTATCTTTTCCACTATCCGGTTCCGGGGCTCAGAACTATACCGGTAGTACATGGTTATTTCTGTGTTTCCTGAAAGAATTGAAAAACTGAAGAAAAAGATATACGAAATCTTTTGGATGGACACTCTGCACACGAAAGACAATGAGACAATTGTGAAAAGTTGAAACGGACAATCGAGCGAATAATTGTATAAAATTGTATTCTTTTTCAGGCACAGCTATTCTAAGCATATTCGCAAAAACTATTTCTAAAATAAACATCAGCTCGAAAAACCGTGAGAAAATAACAATTTCACCGCTTTCTAAAAGCGTACAGATGCACTTTCCAAGTGCAGTAGAACTTCGCCTATCATTTTTGTTATATGTAAAGCCAAGTCTACACTACTCGTTTTCGGAGATATCTAGAGTATGATATCCCATATGTCCAAAAATGCCTTGGGGACCGATGCCATCACACTAGGCTTTTGCTATTCTTTCAGTGACAAGAGCTATGTAGTACTCTCCTTGCCCTTTGAGAATAACAATGTCAGTGGTATGTGTGGAAAATTCATAGTGAAGTGAATACGGTAGCTAATGCTTATGTTAACCTTAGGGACAATGTTGACCTTTGAACTTGAGTTGTTGGCTATCCATAGACAAAAAGAAGGTCAGCTATGAATCACCACTGACTCAATCGTCAACCTCAGGTCCAGAAACGCGTAGTGTTGTACCTTTCGAATCTATGTGAAATTCAAAATCGTGAGGAGTCCTTTTGAAAGAGGGCTAAAAGACTAGTGAACTGAGTTGGACGCATTTTGGGCCTCCTCCACTTGGCTCCTCCATTTATCTTGCTGTTTTTCGCTTTTGTTTTGACTAGTGATTAGAAGCAAAGCCCTAATGAATGATTGGGGGCTCGAGAAAGGGTGCGCACCTAAGCCTTTGAAGTCACTCCCGGTATTTCGAGAATAATAATGACGAGGATATAGATCAAACAAAAGAAAAACGATCAAAAAGGAGATGTTGAAGTCTTTACAGGGAAGGGATCACCGAATTCAAAAAAGATATAGGAACCTGTTAATCCAAAATTCTTGCATTGAAATGATTAGCTTCCATTTTTGGGAATTTTGCTGAATGTGAAATTGAAGAGGGGGGGGGGGATCATGGACTTTAGCAGCGCTATGAAACTTTTGATAACTCGTCATTCTAGCTAATTGAAAGTGCTGCTATTCTTGTGCAAATCCGAAAAAATGGAAAATGGTTGCACTGAGTCAAGCGAAACATCAAAAATGAAATTTTCATAAAAAAAGATGCTTAATGTTTCTACGAACTTTATGATGATACTGAGAAAGATTCAGTTTCTTGTTGATGACATGTATTAAATATAATGAACCGGATTTACGTTGCTATCGAAAATGTGGACTGTACTCAATTCAATTTCTAAACATCCCCTAAAAAAGTCAGAAAAAATCAGTATGGTAAGGATCAAAAATTGAAGATGGAATGCAATTAGAGTCGAAATCAGATTATATCAACATTTACGCTGAATCTGTTTCTCTATGAATTTGCATGGTGACGTATCATTTGAAAAATGTAATTTTAAATATTAGGTCGGTGCAAAAGTTTTGTCAGTTTTTTCAACCCATCGGCAAACACGTTAGAACGAAGATAAACTGACATTCCAAAATGTATCCAATGCATAATTTCTTTTTTTTTCAGCTGCCAAACTCGCACTGTGTTTCGTTGAGAGAGTGATGAGATATTTGCTGGCAATTGCAATCATTCGTCTTTACCATGTCCAACTTTCATTAATTTTCAAAATTTTTGTATGAGACTTTCCGACGAGCCCTAATAACCACCAGATAAAGCAAACCTTTTGCCAACTTATGCACCTTTTTCTTTTTTTCAGCAGCTTTTTCAGAGTCTTGAATTTTGAAAGAACGCATTACCTGTTTATTGCACCAAACACTGCAAAACCTACAGGATACTGAGGCTTTAACACTCGATTATTACTATTGCTATTTATTACAAAGTAAATGAGCGCTTTTCGCTTCAAATTATGAAGATTTTGAAACATAGGATACGTTAGGGCGCACTCCTGAAATAGAGAAATACTGCCATTTTCCCAAGAAGTTTCGCCTGTTTCGGCAAAAAAGACAAGTGTAGGAGGAGAAAAAGTTGCATCGAATGGTGACTGAAATGTTTACATTTTAAGTTCTACGAGGTTAAAGTAGGCTGAATGTAAAATTTGTTCATATCAAAAAATAAATCGCAGAAATTCTGGAAGACAAGCCGTAAGGCTAAAAAAATTGCTTCTGTTGGTAAAAGGTTAGCCCTATCTACTGTTTATTAGGGCTCCTCGGAAAGTCTCATACAAAAATTTTGAAAATTAGTAAAAGTTGGACATGGTAAAAACGAGTGGTTGTAATTTCCAGCAAATATCTTGTCACTCTCGCAACGAAACACAATGGGAGTTTAGCAACTGGAAAGAGGAAGTTCTGGGATACATTTCGAAGCGTTAATTTATCTTTATTCTAACGTATTTGCCGATGGATTGAAAAAAACTGACAAAACTTTTGCACCGACCTAATACATGTATGAAGAGTAAGTTTTGGTCTGCTCCCACAATGGTTCCATTGGAATTTTTCTGCATTCTGATACATTTTTTAAGATGAATGATTTGAGATGAATATATTCATTGAGCAAGACCCTCGAACCGCCTAATAATGAAACGCACATGAATAAAATCAAGATATGGAAAAGGCACAAAAGCCTAGATGGGAATGGAACAATTCTGAGAACACGGAAAATGCGAGAATATGGACGAGAACACTTAAGGAACTCTATGCACTTGCGAGAGAGAACACTCACCCTGTCGCGTTCGCGTTGGTCGAGGAAGAACTGGTGCTGGGAGATGGCTGTGGTCCAGATCGTCCTGCACAGAGCACTCGTCTCACAGATAAACGTATGAACCGCAACTGCACCGTTCGCAGCTGACTGGCAACGACGCGATATTGACACCCTGAAACAGCACAAGTACAGCTGCACTGAACCGAATCGCCGCGATTCGCGCGATAACTGGTCTCCCGCAAGCAACCTGCCAGCAATCTGTACGCGCGTTCGTGGCAAAATAACCGGATAAACGCTCTGCAGGGTGTGAATTACGCACAACAAAACGCGGTAACGGTAGCTACCGTATCCGCGAATCTGCTGCTGAACCTGATCTGACACTGTCTGGATTTCGGTTAAGTGGTATTGATTTCTACTGATTCATCGAACAATAAATCGCAAGAATGAATCATGCGCAGGACGTGAGTGCCGGCGATGAAACAACGAGCCCACGGCCAGACGGGTGCGAGTTCGTCCTCGACCCTGGGAGGTTGACGCGGGGAAAAAAGACGGATGCTTAGCTCATGACTCGAAACGATTAGCGTTTTTCTTGGGGCTGATGTTCAGCAGACTATCAGTCAAGTGGAATTATCTCAAAGCTTGTCTGATCGAAAAAACTACTTCCCACCACTGATTCCGAAACCAAATTATCGCATGATTATTTTGACTGGTTTTTAAATATTGTACATAGTTGAACATCACCACTCAGTTGATTTATAAGCATCAATATAAGCATCATTTAGAAAGTCAAATAGATCTTCAAATCAGACAAAGAAATCACTGAGATGTAGAAGATAGTCTTACATATTTTTTTTCCTATTCTCTCCTTTCTATTGCTCATGAACATGACATCTGAGCTATATAGTCCAAATCAAGAATAATAACCAGCTGACTTTTCTCTCAATCTCAACAGCCTTCTTTCTTTTTAGTTTTTCTCTTCCGTTTTCTATGGTTACGATCTTTCGTTAATGATGAGTTTCGGGTAGATTGTATTTCTATTTTCCTTATAGTGAGTGAAAAAAATAGTTAGTACGAAAGGAAATTGGTTATTTCTTTGATTCTTTATTATCAATCTCTCCACTAGCGAGTCCTGGGAAAGCTCCAAGATCTCGTGCATCCAAAGGAGCGCGAAACGGAGATGGAAAGAATTTGGCTTTCAATAACAAAGAGTTCAAATTTCATTACTTCTTAGGATGATACGAAATTTTTGTATTTTTTCAACTGTAGCTCTGTTATGCCAACCGGATAAACGTTTAGAGAAAATCAGCTCCAGCGAGATAGCAACGAATCAAAAAAGGAACTGTACAACTTTGTAAGGAGAGAAAGACAGTTTTGAAATCTTGCGCTGTGAAAAGGTAAAGGACTGTTATGGAAAACATGATTTATGAAGAGTTTGAATTATTAACGGCTACAGACCGTTGCTAAGCACTGAAATCAAATGTTAAAAGAAAGAGTGACAACTGGTTGAAATGTACACCGTGGATTTCTCAGGGCATAATTCAGAAGAAAATTTGCTGCGAAACAACATCTGGTTTTCTTAATTTTTAAGACTCCTCTTGAACCAAGAGATGATCTCCTCCTCAAAGTTACGTTTATGTTACTATCTTGATTTCGTTAAATCAGAAATATACAATGTTTGCAGAGCTGAATATACCTGTGAACAAAAAACTGGTGAATAATAAAATGTGTTTTCAAATTGAAAATACGAATGGATGAAGTTTTAAGAAATTCAGTGAGTAATGAAAAACTCAGCAAAGAGCATTGACTAGATGCAGCACTCTTGAGCTAGGCTGTGGTGGAGCCTCTGTGAGAGCTGGAAAGTTCGATTGGAGTAAAACTTTCTGAACAGGTTTTGGTACCAGTTCAGCAGTATGCCCCCCCCCCCACCCCCAAATGGTTGAGTCACCTACGCAGGCAAAAAAACGAAGGCCTTGCCGAGCAGTGGTTGCAGCTTCTACAAGCTGTATTACAGTTGATTATTGTAATTTCGTTCTAGCTTGAAGCTAAGTAGTTTTTTAAAAAACAAGGACAAATATGGCTTCCTGCAAAATAAACTGTCAGGGCTACTGTATCTGTATAAATCAGAACACAAATCAGAAAATCCATACTAATTTAGCGTTTTTAGCTTGATTTTTGCTGCTTTCTCAGGAAGCACAAGCGCGAGAAACAATTTTGAAATGATATTCATCTTCAAAAGGAAAAAGAAATTTTTCGAAAGTGTAAAAAATTGCTTCTTGCGTGCATAATATCCAAAAGAGTATAGTTTAGCAAATTTGATGGCTTATACAGCATTTTTGCACTGCCAACAACATCTGCGCGTGAATCATGGCTGTGAGGCGCAAGTTCGAAATTGCGCTCATTTTAAAGAGCAGGTGTTGCAAGACCTGCAGACGCACCATATCAAATGAGATCTTATAAGGGCTACAGCATATTTTTGGATATTTTTGGATATATTTTTGGTTGTATAAGTAAGGGTAGACATTGAAAACTTAGAGAAATGCTCTAAACTCTCAGACTCCTTGCAAAACTACTACTACTATGCAAGGCAAGACTGAAAAAGATGTTCGACGAGAGCACAGGAAGAAAGCCATCAAACGCCTGACGCGGCATTTGTTTTCTTTCATCGGGCACGAACACGCCCGATGTGATTACGCCATTGCAAAGTAATGTTACTGCGTTGCGTCCTTGTGCAGTTGTTTTTTGCGCCCCCGCATTTCGCTTCTCCAGATGAAAGCGCACATTTCCGGCAGAGTTGCTTAATGTGGAACTAATGGCTACTTAATGTCGATGAGAGAGAATTCAGCAGAGATGAGAGAGCTCGTCATAGCTGCTTGTTCGCTGTGCAATTCATTGAAGCAATAGGAAAGCTGGGGGGAGGGGGGGGGCATTCAGGCAAGCGGGGAGTTCCGCAGGACGAGCGAAACTCTTGTAGGTCATAAACCGCACCGTCCATCACTTGATCAGATTTAATACCACTAGAAAATGACATGCGTCGAAATCGGAGGCTTTAGCATTAGAATACGTCAAAGTGGATTTTTTTAAGTATTTTATTTTTATCTAACTTCTCTGTGATTCAGTGTCTTCTTTTTCTATTTCGCTATTAATCAATATCTTTTTTGTTGTAATAATTACATTATTTGGTTACATCAATGGATGCAGTGGTGAGTAAATAAATAAATAAATAAATGGATAAATATAATAATAAATGGATAAATGACTAATAACAGGAACCTCTGCGGGACTTTCCACAAAACGCTGCGGATGTAACCCCCCACCCCCTCAAAAAAACAGGAGTTTCGGGCATTTTTCCGCACGTGGGAGGGGGGGGGGGAGGGAGGAGAGTATCTTCCGGCTAGCCCCTCATTTGTTCGATTCAAACCCTAACCGGTCACCTTATTTACATAAAACGATATCGCTACACAGCATGTGGTCCTTGTATTGATGTTTATGGGGGTGGCAAGAAATTCTGTGATGTAGGTAGCTTGCGAACTGCGAAAAGAGCTTATTCAAAAATGATAAAAGTTTTATTAGGGTGAACGGTAAAAAATGGGACACCTTAAGAATAATTGCAGATTTCTCAAGGAAGAAAAGTGACTGAACTTTCCAATTTTGATGGATATTAGAATAAATTATTCTCTTTCAGATAGCACCTATATAAGGTCATTTAAATAATTGATAACTTTTATACTTGCTAAAATGCAAAGTTAGTTACTTCGAGAAATTATGAAGTTTGAGCAGTATCGGCGCAGTGAAACATGTGAGACCACCCAAACTACCACTGCTGGAGTGAGTGGTGGGACAGTCACCAAACCCACGACGGCTTGGTGGCTTTAACTCTCAATGTCAGGAGATATGCCCATTAACAGCTTCGAGAACAAAGATACGCGTTATTGAATCCTTTGCGGGTAAACGCATGATTTCTAGGTATCACCTGATAGAGCTTTTTACGCTCTATCCATCCATATGCAAACTTACTTCAGATTTCATCTTTCTTCGGAAAATATAGGGCAAAACTTGATTTTTTGATTTTTTGTTGCGCCAAAAATAGCTATTTTTCAGGTTTTTTCGATTTTTTTCTGAAATTGACAAGAAATCTCACGCATTCAACGTATCGTTCGAAAGAGCATGAAGAGCTCTTTCGAATGGTATGTCATATGCTTTACGACTTTACGGTATAACAGCGCAAGATTGAGGATTGTCCAAAAAACCCTGTTCGAGTTCTTCACGGCGCCACGTGTAGGGTAGTGGAAGAGGAGCGTTAACGCCTTGTCAGAATAATAAGCGAAGGTCGCCCATGCAAGCGACGTTTAAGTTGCTGCTTACTTGCCGTTGCCAGAAACAAAAAATTCCAAAATGTAATGAAAATCAAGCTGTCCCATTTTTTACCGTTCACCCTAATACAAAAATGTAGAATGTGAAAAGAAAAGCTTCAATGTCAAAGATTTTTACTGCTAACACGCTATGATAGCTTCTCGAATATCCATCGCCTCTCGTCAATCATTTGAAATAGTCAAAAAAAATCTTTTTGCAGTTTCATGTCCAGTCACAACTTTGATCGAAGAGTTTGACTTGCCATAGCATTTTTGCTTTGATTTTTAAACCAACCACGCGAATGTCACAACCTTCCATGGATGCAACCTTAGGATTTGACAGAAGTTGTTCATGTTGATAGCCATTTATGGAAAACAAACGAAAAATGGTTTTTCTTTTGCGAAATTTCAAAGTTTGGAGTTTTTTCTGGGAGATAATGGTAAAGCAGGAACACAATTTTAGTGCAAGCGTTTATTTTTCTTTGAACTTTTTATTTGATTGCCCTTTATGCAGAATGATGGAGACAATGCGCAAATACTCAGTTCAATTCAAAGAATGAAAACGAAGCAGAAAAACTTTGGCAATTTGTCAAAAGCTGTCAAAGAGCTGCTAGACGGTGAAAAAGCTGTCTCGAATGTGTCCTTGAACTCTCACTCTTCTTCAATATTCTGTCAATCATGCAGAGAGCAAAAGTTTCAAAATAATGTTTCTGCACAAAAAAAGTTATAATTGGATTATATGTTTGTAAAATTGGCTAATTAGGTTAGAATGGAAGATATGGAAAAACGTCTACTGTGAGACTTGTTAATTCTGATGGTTCGAAATTTTTGAGCCAATAAAAAAATAAAAGCGCATTCTGCTCAGTCGTTAGCTCACTCTTTAGCTCACAACGAGATGAGGAGGTAAACAATTTTTTTTTGAAAGGAAAGAATGTTTTAAAGAGAAGAAGTTAACGCAGAACTGTCAAACTTTATAGGATTGAAATCTTGAGGGTACAGCTTAATCGTAGAAATTTTTGGAAACACGCAGGGAATGGGACCCCTAATAGCAAAAGAGAAGACGATTTGGTTATTCAGAGTTTAAGTTAACGACCCATGATAGAAACACGAGAGGGTAAGAAGACATACGCCAGCAAAAAAGCCCCAGCACGTGGAGAACGAGAAAAAAAAGAGAGAGAGAAATAATCGCAAGCACTAAATTCAACTTACTGAGTAGTAGGATCGTTCACTGCCAGAGCCAGATCATCGTCTGGGTTCAGAGGGGTTCCTAAGGTGTTGTAATCCGCGTATGGCTTCGGTCTGCAAGAAATAAAATAAATCCAAAAGCAGCCCAGTGGGGTTTGATCCTCCTGCACACCTTGGATCCCGGACTTCAACGGAAAAGGTGTTTTCTTTGTAGTAGAGATTGTCTAGTAAGGCCCACGGAAAGCTCTGAAATCATCTTACTTCATGGAATGGGAAATGTTCTCTAATGCAAGGGAAGCGTGGGCAATTGCCAAATGCATGTCTCTGGAGAGTAGGAGGAATGGAATATGGAACGAGGTAAGAGCCAATTTTTGGAGGTGACGGATAATTCACAAGATTGAAGGAGGTGGGTACGACCTACGCTCGGTAGAGAGTATGTTACCGATTTGATTTTATTTAGTCATGAAAGGGAGCTGAAAGCGAAATAGCCTAAATAGTGATGACACACTATCCTTAATTTCAATTTTATTTCCACTTCATTTCACTGCAATCAGGGAAGCTATAAATCGGAACATAACAGGATTTTCTAAGCAACGAACAAATTTTACGATGCAGTTCAAGGGTGCCTTACGTCGTAAATCACTACAAACCAGTGGCGAACGCATGGGAAAAAAGAATTACGGGAGGAGAATAGGGCGGGGGGGGGGGGGCTGGTGTAGGTGAAGTCAGAAAAGGGTCCTGGATTTTTCAAAAGCGATCCTCACAGGCTATAAGCGTAGCATGTCCTTACAATTGATAATTACGGAAACTGGCAGCTCTGTCAATATTTTTCAGTTTTGTAGATGTGTCCGGTTAATCAAATAAAATAGTCCCCTTTTTAGAAAAACATTTTTATAGCTGCTGTTGTTGGAAATGTGTTTCAAAAGTACAGTCAACGTAATCAGTCATGGGGCCCGGTCCGCTCCCCTCCCACATCCTCAAAGCAGTGCTAATGCCTCCATTTTTAGATATATGGAATGACTACAGTTAGTCGTTTTTATTTCTACTCAATCAAAAGCGAATTTGAATTTTTCTGAAAATTCCTGTTAGCTTTGGAGTTCTGCCAGACCCCCTTTTTTTGAAATTCTAGCGCCACAAAAATTGAAAAACTCAAAAAACTTCTGCGAGGGTCTCTAAAGCCATGACCCTCCCAAAAACTTTTCTCGCGAGCGAACAAAAAATGATATTTTTTGACTCTTTGCTGCGCTCTCTAATGCTTTTTGGAATAAAATAAAATAAAATAAAATAAACAAGATTTTACTCGTTTTTGCTTATATACGCTTGGTCGGATTTAGAAGTGGCTTGAAAAAAGTATTGAAAAATGAGAAAAAAGAAAGAGAATGAGATAGCAGTAAACTTTTGTGTTATTCGGTGAGCTACGTCCAGTCGAGTGAGTTTGAACTCTAGGTTTAAAGTACAACAAGCAGAAGAGTAGGAAATCACAGTGAATGAGATTCGAGGTGCTCGCACTCGGTGCCCTTCATTTGAGAGGCCTCGAGGGATGCAACATGGACGCAATGCTAGTGCTCTAGGGTAAGGAACATGGGGGCACGGAAGGAGCCTAATCAAATGAGCCGAGGGCCATAATGACGAATTCGTCACAACACACACTGCTCAGCACATTCGGAGGAAAACTCGTCAACAACGCAGACACCACTTTGGGTTTTTTGGCACAAATACGTAGGCTCATGCGTTTCGAACACATTATCCTTACAGCAAACAGCTGGCGATCAGCTGATCGCCAGGACGATGAGGGGGGGGGGGGAGGGCAGGCGCGGACCATTCAAACAGAGAGAAGGCCGAAATGATAAAACCCACGTTACTCGGTCGAAATGTGTCTGCGTTTTGGAATATTTGAATTCCTCGACTGTTGATCGACAGCAGACAAGGCGTTCCATTCGCTTCACACACGCGGTAAAGACGGCTACCATATTTCAGGCATTTTTCAACTATTTGCATAAATCTGGAATAAATAATAAGTGAAGATGAATGAGAAATATTTTTAGGTTTTTACGCATGTACAAAAGACCACGGTAAGAATCTTACAGCAAAAGTTTGATTCATTGGGTTCAAATTTCATCCTGATTATCACTCTTGCTCTTTCTTCGGCCAAAACCAAAAGTCAGAAAAAATCAACAAACACATCTTTCTGAAGCAAAGGAAGCAAGAACAGAGTAATGTAAATACAGAAATAAATTATAAATATAAAATATGTTTGCAAAGCTGATATAAAAATATTTCGAAAAAGAGTGAGCAAGATTTTCTGAGACAAGTACTAACAATAAGAACAAGTTAAAAGTTATTAGTCATGGGTAGCTCTAGTAAAGAAACTGATGATGTTTCCATTTTTTATTTTCTGAATGAAATTCTTTTATTTTAATCTTTGTGTCAATGCAATGTATAAGTTTGAGAGTGAAGAACCAAAATCATATGTTATGAAAATGAAATAGAAATATGGTGCGAAAACTTACGAAACTATAGCGGAGCCCCTTTGAGTGCCTCGCAAGCCGGCATATTCGGACAACACCTGCTTCTCGTAGATGATCTGACTCATACCATATTGCCTATGCAGTCTAGATTGATACGGAGCTAATGTTTGCAGATCACCGGTCAGCGATGGGTCCCTAAAAACTCCACTTAATCATATGTACTCTAAAAAACCTCATGAAAGCGATAGAGAGGTGAAGACCGCCTCACTCGCACAAGAATAACAGAAAAAGAATCAACAGGAGGAAGCACTTACTCATTCCAATCGCCTCGATAAATTTGTAACAAGAGACCTCCCACTCGTACATAGTCTATGTTTGAAAGATCGAGTTGACCCTGGAAAGATTACTCCTAAATATAGTGTGCTGAAAATAGTTAATTAGCTAAACACCTGCCTTGATCAGCTCTTGATGAGCTTCAAGAAAAAACGCTTCTATAACGGCCGGGTTTTCAAGGGATAGTATGGAATCCACGAAGAACCTGGAATGTGGTGTGGAAAGTCTGCTTCTGGCATTATGAAGGGCACAAAAGAAGAAAATTTTAGAAGTTTCTTGTAGCTAATTATCAAACGAGGCGGTCAAGCCTAATTCAACGTCGAAAAGTCAATTCACGAGATTTTTTTTCCTTTCAGTGCGTTTTTCTGACTGTGAATAATTAAGCTATTTCCTTTTATTATAGAAAAAAGACAGTAAAGCTTAGCAAATTTACCAGCTTTTAGCTAAAAACAGAAAGCGCATGCGCCTTGTCGCGACGCGGTCTTAGGCCCTAGGCAAAGTTCACGCGATTTCGTCGCGACGCGATTTGCTAAGCTGGACAAGTGCACCACTCCGCGCTGTTAACACAAGTACTTGTGATACATCTCTATTCTACAGCAAGTCCTGATGGTGTTTTGTTTTGACAGCTTTCCTCTGGTGTTCATATCTGTGCTCAATGCCGCTTGCGGGAAGACTAAGCCCATTTCCTCCCAATCTAATCAGCGATAGGGTTTATAAGCTATATTCGGGTTACAAGGTCATTTCTCAAACCTTCGGCTATTTGCAAAGCAAGTCCCAGTTTTTCAGCTCGATTTTTTTGCGCCATGTTTATTTGTTTATTTTCGAGCAACCTTGTTGTAATTTGAAAGAAGTGAAAAAGCAAAATTCACAAAGTCTCAAAACCCATCAGTTTCACTCAAAATTTTCGTCATTGTTCATGTTTTCCGTTGTAACATACTAGTCTAACCAAACTGTGTTTTACCATAAAATTGTAGCGAAAAGTTTTTTTTGGAACTTCTTGTAATTTACCGACTATGTAAATTAGGACGGCATGGGTCGTCAGTTGGTTGGTTTTCTGCATCATATGCGCACGAGGGTTTATTAAATGGACGGTACGTTCGACGAGTGAAGTGTTGTGCAATTGCACGACTATGCACACGGACAAGCGAGGAGCGACTCAGTCGCCGTTCTTAGTCGCCTCTTCGGGCGCGCATGGGCGATCAGAAATCGCGACGACTTCGTCGCTCGAGGTATGTCCACGGCCTTAGTGATCAAAGCCGCGCCGCAACAAATGATGCATTTTTTCTACCTGCGTTGGTCACATGACTGTAGTAAAGTTTTTACAAGACACTAGTGTAATCAAGGCACTGTCTTTTGCCTCAAAAATCATGATAGCAGACACTCGCTGTTTATAAAACCACATTTATGGTAATGACATGGTATGCTAGACTTTTATGGTAGACTCATTTCCAAAATGCATGTAACCGCAAACGCGCAACTTCTACCGCTCAAGCACGGCAAACAACGTTCTCAAATTTCGTGTTTGAAAAATCGAAAATTTTGTCACTCTACAAACTATAAGAAATTTGAGAAGCGTAGTCTCTTTTGTTTAGAGCTCAAACATTACGTTTTGTCAAAAGAATTTTGAGTAAACACTAAGAATTTTGCTCCTGCAAAATTTCTTAGATAAGGGGTTATACTATACTATGTGACACATTAGGAAAAATGTTGTGATGTGTACTCACCTAACATTGTGCGACAATTGTATAACGGCTTTTTCTCCGGGGAACTCATAGTCAAGCAGATGCTTACCCGGCTGCAGCCAATGGTAATGATCACTAAAATGAAGTAAATGAAAGAAGGTAAGGATTTTTAGTCGTTATAGTGGTACCCTTTGGTTCAACCAGATCGGCGGCTGGAAGGCGGGGCTCCCTGACCTAATTGAGGCTAGAAAATGGTCAGAGAGCATGTTCGCGAAGGAGGCGCAGACTGCGTCGCGTACGCGAGCAGTCGCTTCCTAGGTCATGAAGCCCCGCATTCCAGCAGCCGATCTGGTTGGAGCAAGGGGTAACAATGCTAACGATGAACGATGAAATTCTATTCCATATCTACTCTAGAGATTGATTGACATACACCAAATTTTGTGACTGAGTTGAAAATTTTGTTCGAAAAAAGTTGGAAAACGGCATGAACCGTTCTAACAGATGCGGATGCGCTACAAAAGCACTTGTTTCAACACTTGTTTCTTTTCTACATCAATCGTATTCTTGTGAAAGAGCACATCCTTCATTGGGAAATGAGAGCTAGTCGGCTGTTTTCGGCAGCATAGGGGAGCATAAAGTTAGCGTACAGTCGATTTACTTCTTTGTAAAAATATTCACATTGGCACTTCATTTAACATATCAGAATCTTCGTTTCTAATATTTGGTTCTCACATAGTACCCTTTGATTCAACAGGATTGGTGGCTGGAAGGAGACCACCGCACCCGCGACGCAGTCTGCGTCTCTCTTGCGAAGGTGCTCTCTGGCCACTTTCTAGCCTCACTTGGACCTCGAAGCCCCGCCTCCCAGCCAATCCTATCCAATCAAATGGTATGTAGGTCTTGATTGAAGAAAAATCGACAAATTTTTCATACTTTGATTATTCTCTGCTTAAACTAGTTCTGCTTCCCGTTGAGTACTGACAGTGGGAAGTAAAAAACTGAGTAGAAATTCTTGTCCAAAACCTACTTCTCATCTACAAAAGCAAGTCCAAAGTAGCGGGCATCCGGCTGTGTGAGCCGGCAGTGATGCGCAGCCAGTGTGAGCACGTCGTTCACGGAAAGCCTGGCAATGACGGAAATCTCCAGACACTCTCCATCGAGAAGACGCACAGTTGCTGGACGCCCCTCATGCATCCAATCCTGCAATGACGGCGCTTTTCACTGCGAATAAAATCGAATCTACTCATGACGTCAAAAATAACAAGTGTAGGCTGTAAACTTCATGATGATAACCGGAAACATACTGAGATCATATGTATATGGCAGGAAGTAAGAAGCTGTACGCAGTTCATGGCACGCAAAGACAAATCGCCGCTGCGAACGCTGTCGGCGTCTCTCATATCAAGCACACTTTCATTCCTCTAGCTGTCTGCCATCTCTTCAAGTACAAACTGTCTTCATCGGACGCAACAGCGTCCAGCCTGTGCGTGTGATAACCTATGCAGAGAGTTTCATGGAACCGAGTCTTTGGATGTATTTTTTCCAATACTCTTCTCTTCTCTCTCCCCCCCCCCCCCTCCTCCTGCTCCTTCTTCCCTCCCCTTCCCAAATTCGGCAGTAGTAGACAATTTAAGGCGATTCGCTCACAAATCCACTGAGGTTTCGCCCAAAAGACGAAAATAAATAAATTATTTTGCAACTCTACGTTTTTTGCCGAGCAAGCAAAAAGCTTTGTGGAAAAGAAGTTTCTCGCAAAATTATGATAAAAGTCTGTAAGCCACCGGCATTTGTATGGACCCTTTTGTACGTTTTTTTGTACTTTGACACCGACTGCAGAAACATGAAACATCTGCAAGTAATTTGCAGAACGCTCGTATAAAACAAGCATTACGAAAAAAAAGAAATGAAAGTCAAGGGGATAGTTGATATTTATTGCAGAACGGCTGCGAATACATAAGACACAAAGGAATAGGATTACTCGCTCAAATAGGGCGTTATTCCTATTCTACATGCATTAAGTTCATTTTCTCGTAAACTTTATTGCCTTACGAGTTTTATAGGTTCTCTGCTCAATCAAATTATTCCGGTAAAAAATGCATTAAAGGAAAACCATTAACATTATAAGCAGTCTAATTCGTTTAGATGATCTTTGAGCAGCTGAGTAACCCTCAGCTTACATCTGTAACATGTTTTTGGCACTCTTCTCACTTAATTCCGAAAGATTTTGTAGAACAGAAAATGATTCAATCAGTGAAAAGGTACGAATATGTTCAATGCATCAACGCCATCCCTATCATTTGGATTTCAAATCATTAAGCATCATTTCTGTGGAGGAACCCCCTTATCCAAAACTTAGAATGCAATTAGACTTCCTCAGGTAATTCTTGGATACGAAATCAAAAACCGCCGTTTCAGGTCGCCTACTCCCTTTTTCCTTTTTTTTTCACTACCCAATTTTCACCTTCACTGTCACATAAGAAAACATTAGAATCTTTACAAAAGATTTATTGAACTGTGGTATTAGCTGAACTGAAAAATTCTATTTCATTCGTACTATGATTCAGTGCGGGGAGTAGGCGGAATTACCATCAAGTCAATCCAATTTGAAAAGGATTGGAGTGCGGAGTGTGAAACCGAGCAATAAGGCTACGTGCCTAGGAGCCAAGAAAAAACGCGATTAAAAATGGCTCAAGGAACTTTCTAAGACGGTTCCACTCACAGAATACAGACGGAGGATTTTCGTCAGCTAGGAGCGCTATAAGCTGCAATTTCATTTCTGGTTCTGCGGACATCTGCTGTCCACCTTCACCACTCATCGTAATGAATCAAAAACGAACACACAGAGTTGAGCGCGAATTATCATCGAAAGGTTGCTGGGCCGACGAGGTGAAAAAGAAATTGAGGTGAGATCGGCTGCGAACTGCGGGCTCGGTATCGTAAGTATTGCAGAAGAAATGAAATAGAAGTAGGTGAAGTGCATGGTATATAAAAAATGGGCTCAGCAATTTGCTCAATATTAGAGCGTTCATACTCAAAACCACCAATCAGATATATTATTGAGAAGTCCGCAAAGTCTCATATCATAAGAAAGAATCGCAATTTCCTTCAATACACAGGGTGCAAAAAATACTGTTCTAAAATAAAGGCAAAAAACCGGCGTAATTCTCATTTTTTCTAGTAAATTTGAAATAAATCCTAAGATGCGAATGTGTTCTAGCACTTCACAAAAACTGGTTCAAAAATTCTGTAACTTCACCCGATCGGGATCCATTTTCGCAGCGCATCCTACATCAAATCTTGCAACTCCCTTTTACAGAAGGAATTACAGTTTTTAAGAAAATTTTTTTGCCAACGTGGATTTGAGAAATCGTTCCAAATCAAACTTACCTTAGTCGAATCCGCAAAGTCTCGCCAACATGTGGGAGTCAAAAAACTGTAGATTTTCACCATCTGTGAGATTTTTTAGGAGGCAAACTGAGGGACAGTACTTTTTCTGCACCCTGTGTTTGCATGAGATTAATTTTTCACACAGAAAGCCCCTTAGGTAAAAAATAGTGCTAGCTTTTGCGCAGATTCGGAATAAAAGCACACTTCTGCAAATTTTGAAAATACTGAAAAACAATAGAATAGAAGTTTTGTGGACTATCTTCTGATGGAAAACAACTCTTGCAAAATGAATGGCTCTTCCAATAATTAGGCTCCAAATTTTTGCTTTTTCGACTTCACTTTGAACAAACTCTTACCACACAATTACAACAAAGTAAAATATCCAGAAAATCAATAAAGCATTATTATCCATTAAACATAAAATACGATGCAACATACACGATGGAAATGCGGGAAACATAATCCAACTTTTTCAAGCTGGCAAAAAAATTCCAAAAAAAAATTAGGCGCTAGGCTTTCGAAACTAGTTAAATATAGAGAATGCCATCACCACAAATTCGGAGGTTCAAACAATCGTGCCAACGAAAGCAAGCAGTAATTTCCACTGGAGATTTTTTCTTCGAACATGACAGTATTTTACCGGAGGATTCATACATAGGTACAAGTCCTATGGCAAAAGCAAAGCGTAGAGCACTACAAACATTGAAAGTAAACATGTCTAGATTGGTAGAATGAGAATGCAACTACTGGACTGGACTTGATGTTTGAGAGTCCAGCACTTACTCATAAATGTATTATAGTGGACTGGTGTATCGAACGCTTATGTTAGCAATGTTTGTGATCAAACAGATGGACAACAAATCGCAAGTCTGCAAACAAACGCTTCTATCAGTCGCGCTTCGGAATTTTGCTGTCTTACGTATAAATATTGGTCATCAGTACTGCTCGTAAAGGCCCTAAGCAACGTTCGATGCAGCTTTCATTCATTCAAAAGTAAACTTTTCCTTGTTTTGAAGTTTCCAGAGTATAGCCGTTTGCGATAGAAAAATCATGTCAAGAATAATGTCACTAAACATGTTACTTTTGCTCGTTTTTGGAAAGAGATGGAGGAATTACAGACCTTACAACATAGAACTATAATTGTGAAAGTATTTTTGCTAATGTGTGCAGTTACACATTTTCCAGAGCAGGGTTGACCATGGGACCCAGATGTTGTTCTTTGTTTCATCCTAATTTTCTTTGTTGTTTAGATGCCAGTTTTTTGGAATATTCTAAGTCCAGCCAAGTACATTCTAAGCGTTTCTTTCATCTTGCAAAATTGCATTCCGTCCCAACAATCTGGGTATAGTTGCCCATATTAGCAAAGAAACTACCAGGATTCGGCATAGTTGGCACCAGGTCAAGCTGGATGTCGTTTTTGTGGCCGAAAAGACACAAAAATTGCGACCTTTTAGTCGACGCTTCGTTTTTTTTTTGAGGGTATTTTACGTTTAGAATTTAGGGTCAAAAGGGACTTCGTACGAAATTTTCAAGGTCATAGGAAACTTCGTTTCGAAATTTCCATGGTGCCAGCTAGTGCCGAGCTTTGAAACTTACTGTCTGTACAAATCAAACCGTTTTCTAAATAAGGAGAAGTGCCCCATAAATGTGATTAAAAAATTCTCAAATAATGTGCATGCTATAAAAGCAAAATGAAATTGTTTGCATAAGAACATTGTAGAAACCGTCGAGAACGCCATTGAACAAATCATGAAATTATATTAGAACGTTCCTAGTTACAACAGCAAAAAATCGAAAGACTTAAAATACAGTGGAAGTCTCCAGCAACATAACACATTGTCAGTGAATAAATGATAGCAGTATAGCTTACTGTATATTTCCAAAAGATACTATTAGCACGAAAGCGTCACGACCTATACGTTAATCGGGGGTAAGAGAATTTGATGATAAGGGTAGGGTGTAAAACGAGCACAGGTGTGAAAAGTCCTTGAGATGCGGTTTGAATCACTGCACAAATAATCGCTTTTCACCGGGGGTCACAAAGAAGAAGCCATTGATTTCGGAGAAGTACACATCTACGCTAAGATGTTTATACAGAAACGTAAGAAAAATTGTGCACAGAGAAATTTTATTTGAAAAGGAGCTGAGTAAGATACGATTCAATATCGGCGTTATATCGTTTTCGGCCAATAAACGTGCAAAATTGTAGAGAAACGTTCGAAGAAACGAAAATGAATATGCATTAGGAGAATTGAAGGGGGAGCGGCCAGCCAAAAACGAACAACACTCTCAGGAGCTGATCGATTATATATATCAGAAAAGGTGTTTAGTGCCCTGCTGATCTAGATCTTTGCCCCAGGTATTCCAGCCTTCCTCTGGAAATAAGGACATTTTCGAGGCCGACAATCTGGACGCTAGGCAAAAATTCAATCCGTTGTTCGAATTACCTGACCTCCTTGTTCAACCCCCACTCTTCAGATGGAGGTCAGCATGGAACAGTGCCAATTTCGGAAACAAGGTGGCCAGGCAAATTCCCACCTTGCAATTAGTTCTCCAAATAACATTTAGCCTTTTCTGATTTTCCATTTCAAAAAGAAAGAAAAAATCTGATTGTACTATTTACTCCTTCGTCTGAGGAAAAATTCGGTGCCTGAGAGGCTGAGTACAATCCCAAATTTAAAATAGACATGATTTTTGATTACTCCTAATATCGCAAGCGATGCAGTCAGCCGGAAATAGGCATTACCTAAAGCTATATATGCACTAGATGCACTTCTGGCGAAAGGACTAAGCATTGAAAGTGCCGATAACATCAAAAG